CAAAACAAAAGCAAACAACAAGAACACAAAGCTGGAAAACCCACCCGACTGAGCAAAATCAACTCAAAATCCTCCCACACAACAGAACCTCCTCTATTCCTCGCTGGCTCCAAATCTCTCAGTGGAATGATCAGTGGTTCGCTGTCACCATCAAAACGCTCCACAAATCCCACGAATGATTCACTTCCTTATGAACCATTGAATCAGACACCGAAGCAGTTAGGCTCTAAATGAAGCTTCGGACGTCACCGATCACGTGACTCTGGCCAAACGAATCAAGCTTCGACACAGAGCTTCTGAAGCAGTGTGTCGATTTATTTGACACACGCACCGGAGCGTCAGCTTGATTATTGGCTTCACTAGTTTTTGACAAACAGTTTCTTGTTTTTAAGAATTCATCAGAAGCTGTGGATGGATGCACTTGAATATTTCGTTGAATTTTTTTATACAACGTTCCCACATCATCATAATAAATGTTGTTCCAGGTTCAACATTGCAAGTGACCAATCACATTGTTGTGAGTCCTCCTTTTGTCCCTTTGAAAAATACCACCTTAAAAAAAACTACTTCACTTGCAAGAAGAGAAACGCTTCTGTCCGCCGATCCAGGAACTTGAATTCTTTGCATTTCAGGATACTTTTCTTTAATAAACGGTAAACATTTTACATATTGTCCTTGCAGAGGCGGTTTCTCTTCTCGCAAGTGAAGTAGATTTTTTTAAGGCGTTTGTTTTTGTTCGAGGTCGCGGATGACGTCAGGAGAAGGTGATTGGTCACTTGCAATGTTGAACCTGGAACAACATTTATTATGTTGATGAGGGAACAACACCAACACGAGGATATCAGATCGTCCGCAAAACCCTCTGGTATGCACTTAGTTGATCAGAGGTTCATCCTACAGCAAGATAATGACCAAAAAACATAAGTCCAAGCTATGCCAGAACTACCTCAGGAAAAAAGTACAAGATGGTGAACACGGCTTGGCCTCCACAGTCTCCAGACGTAAACCCCATCGAGCAGGGTTGGGATGAACTGGACAGAAGAGTAAAAGCAAAGCAACCTACAAGTGCTACATTTACAGGAATTGCTGTAACACCTCCAATTGCTTATTTGTACTGTGCTTTCATTTCAGAGTGCAATGAGATATTAAACTGCACAATTTTCAATAAGAAAAATTGGGGTGTTCTAAATCCTTTGACCTGTAGTGTATATAAACCAAATGAACCAATGAAGAAGTATACAGTTATTGAGACCCCTGAGAATGTGTTACACCATAAAAACATAGCCATCAATACGTCTTTGAGAAATTAAGAAACATTAAGAACTTACATTGTGTTTTTATCTGCTCGAGCAGAGCTGAGCCGATCATTAAATCCCATACACAATTTCGCCATCCTGAATTTCTGTATTTTTATGTTTACATGAACTTATAAATTAATCTGTACTGGAGGTGTGATTGATTCCCAAAATGTTTGAGCCAAATTTCATGAAAATCTATCCAGTGTTTGTTGACTTTCAGTGTGAGCAGAAGTGTTGGACACAGGTAAGTCTGGCCTTGCTTTTACAATAGACTAAATAATATGACAATCATCATTGCTTTTGTTTATAAGTTCTTGTATCAGTTCATTTATTTCTTTGTCATGTTTTTCCTCGAGGTCCTCCTTTTCCTCTGGATCTTCCACATGCTTCATTTCCTGTTCATGCTTTTTCAGTAGCTTGCGGACTTTTTTTGTGTTTGCCCTCTTTTTGGTGAAACATCTCATTAGGTTATATATCTCTTCTTTGTGTTTTTTCATTTGTTCTTCTTTCTCAGCTTTTAGTGCTTTTAAGATGTCATATTGCTCATCTTCGGCTGTCCAGTCCTTACCCTCTAACTCTTTCATGCATTTCTCCCTGAATTCGTTGTATTCCTCTGCTTGTTTTCTGGCTTTTTCTTCAAATGTTTCCTTCATTTCCATCAGTTTTTTCTCATAGTTCTCCTCCAGTTCCCTTTTCTCTTTTTCCCCCTTTTCTGTTAACATCAAATCCTTTTCTTTTACTTCTTTCTCAAGAACTTCTTTTTCCTGCTCATATTCTTTCAATTTGTTCATCATTTTCTGCTCCTCCTGTTGCCTCACTTCATTTTCCTGCTCTCTTTTCTGCCACCACTCTTTTTGTTCATTCTCCCATGCCTGCTGTTTCTCTTTCATTTCTGCTTTGCTCTGCTCCAGTTGTCTGTCAATGATTTGTTTTGATTCCAGTTCTTCTTTCATTTTTACTTCTAAATCTAAAAACCTTTGTTCCCAATCCCTACGCTGTGATTCTTCCTCTTCTTTCTTCTCTCTTTCTTCTTCATCTCTTGATTCTTGTTCTCTCTTTCTTATGGTAAGCTGTTTCTTCACTTTTTTAAGCTCTTTGTCTCTTTGTTTTCTTTCTTGTTCAATTTCTGTTTTCTGTTCTTCCATTTTTTTCTTCATTTCTTGCATTTCCTCCTCATGTTGTCTTTTAAGGTCTTCCATCTCTCTGTTTATTTCTTCCTCCTTCTCTTTCAGAATCGTCTCTGTTTTTTTCTGGATCGCAGCTTCAGCTTCTTGCAGCATCTTATTGGTGAAGCAACTTCCACCATTTCTTTTGACCATGTCATTGATCTTTGTTATCAGCTCAGTGACTTGTTTCCGGTTTTGTTTATTATAGTTATCAAACACATGGAATCTTTTGCCACAATCATCAATCAGCTTCTTAAAGGAATCATCAGATTTTGCAATGTAATCATGAATGGACTGCCCCTCATGTTCCAGTGAATCTCCTCTTGTGAAAAGAATGATGGTGAATTTTTCTGAATTCTTCCCAAAGCCTTCCTTGATAAGTTTTAATGCTTCCTTCTGTTCTGGTGTGATTCTCTCAGTCTTTAACACCAGCAGGAAGACGTGTGGTCCTGGAGCCAGAAGGCTGACACATTTCAGCATCTCCTCATTGATCTCTTCATGTGACAAACTGTTATCAAACAGTCCAGGAGTGTCGACCACAACAACAGGACGACCGTCCACTTCACCGTTTTCTTTCTGACAATGTTTGGTGACAGATTTGGGGTTATTCTCAGCTTTGAACTTTTTTTGTCCTAGAATGGTGTTTCCAGAAGAGCTCTTTCCACTGCCAGTCTTACCTAGCAAGACAATTCTGAGAGGCTCTGAGCTCTGCTTCTCTTCATTACCTGTGAAATAACAACACATTAGTTAAATTGCAGGACAGTCCAATAGATAATGTGCTGCTGAAAGCACAATATATTTTAGATGTCATTACTTTTTGTCTTTGTGTCTAAAGTTGAATCTAATAATCAGTGCAAGGGCTTAATTGGAGCTCCCTTGCTGCTTTTATCTCATTTTTTATTCAATTCCAGCAGCAGCACCAGAAAAATAAAGAAGGAACACAGGAAAATACAAAGAAGGAGGAATCCACAAGCAGTTTACACAATCCGCATTTAAGGTTGCTCTTAATGTAATTATTAAAAGAACAAACAACAACAAATCAAACATTAAACAAGATTATTGAGTAACGGCTAGAAAGATGTAGGAGGATCTCAGGGGACACGAAGAATGTAAAAGAAAACAAAAGCTGTTATTTTACGACCTAAATCTGCTACAGATAAACGTTGTGTCTGTCCATGTCAAAGAAAATCTTATGATCTTATAATTGAATTCTGTTACATTTAGTCCCTATTTTTCAATTACACTTTCAAATTCATCTAATTCAAAATCTTGCTTTCACTGTTTTTGCATTTTTGTCTCCCAGTCAGTTAGCACCTAGTACACTATCTTTATATTCATTTCAAGCTTTTACTGAATTTTTCAGGCCATGCATCTTTCCACCTTTTAATCTCCACATCAAACAGGTTGCCACATCCAAAGACTTTATTTTCATGGTCCAGCACGCTGTTTGCTGTTTTGGGTTCTCCTTTCTGTCTAAGCTGAGCTAAGCAGGTTAAAATCTGCAGGAGGCGGCCACGTCTGTTCCTGATTGTCTTCATCTTCTGCCAGTACTTAACAACCAACTCCAATGATCACTCTATGCCAATCTGGCTCTCTAGACTGGTAATCTGGCGTCTCCTTGTTTTCCCCCAGGACTCTCTGTCTGACTAAAGAGCAGCTTCATTTCCAGTGCTACCTATTAATCCCACTTGAGTTATTAAGTTAGAGATGGGCAGATGGAGCCTTGTGAAGGTTTTGAGGCTATTTCCTGATTGTTGCTCTGAAAAAGTTCAGAGCCTTAAAGTCAGACCTTACCAGTGGAATCGAAT